TGTATATTGAGCTGGGACTTGGTGTATTTATAAGCTACATTAGGGACCTTAAGGAGATGCTAAATATGGGCTTCTCCAAATAGGGTTAGCTTTCTAGAAGACTTTCATGTCTTCAACCTTGGTAATATTCTAGAAAGAATTATATACTTCTATTTAGAAAAATTCTAGAAGATAATTTAATTCCTTCTCCTATTTGAATAAATAATAAAATATTTTACTAAATATTATTATTGATCTCCCCATTTAGCTCCAATTTATTCAATAAATTCGAACCCCCTGCGTAATTAACTAATTTTAATTAATTTAATTGATCGATTTAACATCCCTATGTTTATGATATAACGCTCATTGATTAATTTAATTACTGACAATAAAATTGATCAATTTCTTTTATCTCTTGAATCCGAAATTAGTACCACTCAGTTCCGCTGACTCATCGTGATGTCTGATTTGCATGGCATCCGGTGAGTCCATGATGCATGTGCTGCAGGACAGCTATGTAGTTGCGGCAACTTGGAGTAAGTTGGTGCCTGGGCATGTCTTGGCTGCCTTTTTCTCTCTTCCCCTGCAGGCGTGTGTCTGCGCCAATTTGGATGGGACGTTGGTGCATGTCGTTGAGGATTGGGCGTCCATCTTTGGGGTCACAGCTTGGTGTATGTGGCAATGGCGAAACTTGACGATTTTTTGAGATGAGAATGGGTCGGTGGAGCTTCGTGTGCATGACGTCCTCTCTTTCATCCATCGCACTGATGTGGTCGCGGCTAGTGGCCGTGGTTAGGCAGCGCCGGCGGGCGCGAGCAACGCTGGATAGGGTAGTGGTAACGAAATACACTCCGACCGGCTTGAGATCAGCTCGTCTTCCTCCTCCTCGCCGGTAGAATGCCGCGTACCTGCAAAGGACTCTCACAACGGGAGGTTTTTCCGATGAAGAGTCTCCGATGCTTAAGTCAGTATGTGTTTAATCAATTCTCCAAAGTGAAAAATGGATAAATCGTAAGCTACAAGAAAGGCTTACTCATATATATATATATATATATATATATATATATATATATATATATTTAGGAATGACATACCTGCCCTAGGAGCAGCCCGGATTTGATGAGCTGTCTGCCCCACTCTGCCGGATCTGCCCGTCCGTAGACACGCAGTGTGTGTGTGTGTCAGAGGTGGTTATCGCCACTATTGCTCTGCACCAATATCTTCTCACCATGTGCCCTTCTGAACATAGGGTAATTATTCCCTTGAATATTAGGGTAATTATTCTCTTGAATATTCTTTGGGATTTCCTAACGAAGTCCACGTGCTTTTCCGCGTTCATACCACGCCCTCGATTACTCTTCACCCCTCAAGTGGTCGATCAAATGAGTTCTCCTCTGGTAGGTCGATCTTCGACCAGGTCTGCTCCGATACTCGGCCACTTCCTTTCAGTCCGCTGTTGCTCGACTGATGTAGCATTTCTAATATTGGGCTTGTACGACCGGCCCAGTGAACCAGTATATTCTTTAGGCGTATAATATCCCATATCATCTAGTCCCCCCCACTCTGGTCGAGTCTTAATGACTCGATCTAAGAGTGAGTTTGTGTCTGCCTCTTCAATCTGCTGGCTCCTCGACCTCATGACTGAATTTAATTTTACTTTTTGACCATTTGACTGGTCTTATAGCGGATTTTCAACTGCTTCTCCTCCACCTTTATTATTAATGCAATTTTCATCTGCCACGTGTCTTATCTATCCAGTACCTTTAATCATCGTGTCTCCTTGCGATTTGTGCCGCTTCGTTATCCGTGTCCGTTTAATTCTCCAAGCCGTTAGATCTCACTTTAATCCAACGACTCTCTCTCTCAACCCTTCAACTTGTCTCATCTGTACTCGTATAAGTACTGTACTTAGCAATTTTTCGGCTTTTTCTCACCTTTCCAAATTCTGAGTTCTCATGTACCCTAATTTCTTCCTCTGCAAACTTTGCTTTCCTGCTCTCGGTGCTTTCTCTTCAAGCAATTTTCGACAACCGTTCTCTGTTGCAACTATGAGTAAGTCTCCTGCGCTTTAATTTTGTATTTGCGTGTGTTTATTTTGTTGATTTTTGATTTCCTTGGTTGGTTCTTCTCTTCTAAAACTTCCTTATTTCGCCTGTGAAGAGGTGTCCCTTTTTCACCTTCCAAAACCCTAACCTCTCTCCTTTTCCTCTTGATTTTCCCTTTTACTTTTCAGATTCCGCCGCTTCTAATGAACAAAGCCACCAATCCGGCGAGGGTGCAACCGCCACGACGTCATCCCCCATTCGTCAACCTATTCCTCGCTCTCCTTCTCGCTCAGTGGAGGAAATTTACAATCCAGTCCCCCTCAATATTTTTCGTCCTACCGATCACGCCACCTCTTCTCCTCCACCTCAGCCTCATCATCTGATCGATGAATCAGACGATGATGCTCTTGACCACCTTCCCCTCACTCGACGCCGTCGACCAGCTTTCGGAGCTTTCGATGAGGTCGAGGAAGCTCTCGATGATGCCAAGGGTACCCGCGATGAGGATCATATCCCTCTTTCTCGACGTGCCCCCTCTTCTTCGAGTAAGGCCAAGGTATCTTCTGCTACTAAATCCAAATCTTCTGCTAAATCTTCAACCACTCCTGCTCCACCAAAAGCCCAATCCGATCCCATTACTGCCTCTCCTAAGCCGGCCCAAAGGAAAAAGTTGGCCAAAGCCTCCTCTTCTAAACAGACTTCTTCCCGCGCCCTCATAGCCGGTTGGCTGAATGCTGATGAGGTCGGCCATCCAACTGTCTGGGCCTTTGTATCACCTGGCCCCAAGACACTTATGATAATCCTTCCCAAAATTGCTATACTTTTTTCGAGATCCAATTTAAACTTGGTGTTCGTTTTCCTTTGTGCCAAGACTTGCTCAATCTTTGTAAATGGTTTGACCTTCCCTTGAACCAGCTCCCTCCTAACGCTATCCGCTTTATAACCGTCTTCATCATCCTCTTCCACCTCTGTCTAGGTCGACTCGACCTAGACTTTTTCCATTACTGTTACACACCCTCGAAACATTCTCAAGAGCTCCACCTCAAGAGCCGCAATGATATCCACTTTATCTCGGTCACCCCTTCGAATGTTCCGAAGTAGAAAGATAAATTCGCTTTTGTCGAACCTAAACTCGCTTTTCTTTGGGCGCCGACTCCGTGGCTTAAGGAGGTCAAGCGTGAGTATGCGACACCCTCTCCAAACGTCCTCTTCGACCAGCGGATTGCTGTGTGGAACCGTAAGCCCGTTGCGTCAAAAACTCTACTCGAAGATAATAATCTCCTACACTTTTGTGGTCGGTGCGCTGAGAACCGGTCGGTGGAGCTTTGTGTGCATGATGTCCTCTCTTTCATCCATCGCACTGGCGTTGTTGCGGCTAGTGGCTGTGCGCTAGGCGGCACCGACGGGCGCGAGCAACGCTGGATAGGGTAGTGGTAACGCAAAACACTCCGATTGGCTTGAAATCGGCTCGTCTTCCTCCTCCTCGCCGATAGAACGCCGCGTACCTGCAAAGAACTCTCACACCGGAAGGTTTTTCCGGTGAAGAGCCTCCGATTGGTGAAGAGCCTCCGATGCTTAAGTCAGTATGTGTTTAATCAATTCTCCAAAGTGAAAAATAGATAAATCGTAAGCCACAAGAAAGGCTCACTCCTATATATATATATATATATAGGAATGAGATACCTGCCCTAGGAGCTGCCCGGATTTGATGAGCTGTCTACCCCACTCTGCCCGGATCTGCCCGTCCGTACACACGCGATGTGTGTGTGTGTGTCAGAGGTGGTTATCGTCACTATTGCTCTGCACAAATATCTTCTCGCCACGTGCTCTTCTGAACAGAGGGTAATTATTCCCTTGAATATTCTTTGGGATTTCCTGACGAAGTCCACGCGCTTTTCCGCGTTCATACCACGCCCTCGATTGCTCTTCACCCGCCAAGTGGTCGATCAAATGAGTTCTCCTCTGGTAGGTCGATCTTCGATCAGGTCTGCTCCGATGCTCGGCCTCTTCCTTTTAGTCCGCTGTTGCTCGACTGATGTAGCATTTCTAATATTGGGCTTGTACGACCGACCCAGTGAACCAATATATTCTTTAGGCGTATAATATCCCATATCAGGTAGGAATCGCTTGCTGCAGGTGTAGTGAAGGTCAACACGGACGGCAGCCATCTACCGAGTATAGGTATGACTAGTATCGGTGGCGTTATTCGAAATCATATGGGGAAATGGCTGACTGGCTTCGTGATGAATATTGTATTTTGCTCCGTCATTGGTGCCAAACTTTGGAGTTTGTTTCAGCGGTTGACGCTTGCATGGATATTAGGGCCCGCAAGGTGGTGGTGGAGGTCGATGATCAATGCATTATTGCGATGTTCCATGCAGATGATGGATGCGGTATCCACAAGGGAATTCTACTAGGGATACGAGAGCTGTTACGTCGGCAATGGCATATGGCTTTGCAGCACGGTTATCGCGAACCAAATCTTGTTGTCGATTTTTTGGCCTCCCTTGGCGTGTAGGGGCCTAGTGGAATTCAGCGTTTGGATGATCTTCCTTTTCTTCTATCGAAAAAAACAATTATTAGCTCCTTCTGAAGTGCTACATACATATGTACACATAACACATGTGATCAAAGTCCTAAAACTCAGTGCGCCCATGAATGTGATGAGAGATCATGGGTAACATCATTTAGCACCAGTACAACCCATGTTACTCGTTTCATTTCTTTTTCCCCTTCCATTTTTCATCGGAAACGCCAGTCAATGGCTGACTTGAGTTGTCCAAAATAAATACGATATGAATCAACTAACTTACACAGACGACTATGTGTTTTAACACTTATTAACACTTACACAAGACACCACATATAAATCATACTCGCATTTGTATTTCACCGAACAAAAATGGATAAATTAAGACACGCATTTTACAGCCTACATGTGCACGCATGCGCGTGTGAGAGATGATCTATCCTTCTGAAATNCATAAAAATTCCACATATTACCAATCCATGATAGCAATCAACATATCAGTCTCATTAAAATCTAATATCCCAATGGTACATGAAGCTCTCCCATGAAATAACAATACTACAGATGGATGGATCAAAGAAAAACACAAAACGAAAATTGAGGCAATTCCTCATATAGGATAAAAATCCGCTCAGTCAAAGCCTCGGAGCTTGCTACAGAGGCCCATCACGCTGTAAATCGCTTTTACACAATCAGATCAGGAGCTTCTCGATCGCATCCTATAATTTATATAGAATTTGAGAATAAAATTAATTACCAAATAGATCGAAGTTTGAAAATCTCAATACAAATAAAGGCCATTCTCAAATTACCTTCAGTTGCTGAATTTGCGATTTCAGTTGGCTCCCTTCATTGCTAGTAACAGAACAGGCAATAACGGGTCGGGTAACTCCACATGCACGACCAAGAGCTTGCTTAGATGGGACAAAAACATACGGCACATTCTGCATTAATGTGCATCAACAACAGCTCAGTTTACTTTTCTGGTAAAATGCAACAGATTAAACAGAAAGGATCCAAACTGAACATAACATCAAAACCCTTAAAATGATACTTTTGTTTCTAACTGTTAGTTATCAACCACGGACTACCACATTTTCCTTATCATGATTTATTAATACAATCACTGGCCCAATAACACACGCGCACACACACACACAGCATGATTGGCAATGCAAAAAACTATGTTTACAATGAGATGCATACATAGTTGTGTCATCTTTTGTTTCTCAGTATTTCCAAAGCCATGTAATAGAGAATCAACAGTGTAGCCAACACATGTTGTGAAATGAGCATGAAATGTTTGCCAAATATTTCAATCGATTTTATTTTCACAATAACCTCAGGAATGGGAAAAGGAGAATCATGTCAGAGAATAATAGTAACAATCTGGAGACTTACTCATTAAACTAATAATGTCAAAAGGACTGACCACAAACATAACTTACATCATGATGTTCATCCTCTAAACTAAGGTTGCATGTAAAGTGAAGGATTGGGAAAATTTGGGCATTTAACAACCAAAGCATTGTGTAAGACGAATAATACCAAGTACAATCAGTTCAAAACCTTCAGCAATTAACATGCATTCAAGGTTATTACCTACAAAATGTTACTCTAGAGTAAACTCCGCTACCCAAATACAGTGTAAATGATATTGTTGTCACTGGCACAAAAATGGACCGAAACAAGTCATTCATGTCCATGGTAAGATTTTAAAAGAGTTAATTCGATGTTTTTGTCTTTGGTATATCTATGACTGTACTTTATCATAAATATTACTGAAGTCCCAAAAATAGTCAACAAAGATCCATTTATGTAATAATAACAAATCCCAAGCATCACTAGTGCACCACACTATGCGAATTCAGCAAACATCTAACAAACAAAAAAAAGACCCCTTTCACCACTCAATTAAGTATAAGACACAATTTAAAGCAAAAATAAACATTCGCCCTTCACAAAATCCACTCTCTACGCAAGCAATGTCCAGTGATAATCTCATAATACTGATACACAACTTATGATATATGCCGAATAATAAAAAGTTACCTTATCTTCAGCCAGAAGAGGAAGGTGAAGAAGGATCTCAAGCGGCTCCGTATCAGCCGCCATAACAACGAACTCAGAAATCCCTCTGTTCAAGGTCTTAGTAGCTGAAACGAATTAATTACCAAAAAGTTAAAGTCCTCAATTCCACCAGTAAATGAATCAAGACATAAATTTCCAGTTGAATAAAAATAAAAGGGTGTGTACACATAGTAACCATATCCCACCTTCATTAGCACCCTTTTTGAGCTGCTTGTAATTAGCGGCTTGCTGAACCAAGTCAAGAATGGTAATGGTGAGCTGGGCATCCGCCAACGGGTAGGCTTTAGGGTTCACAGCTTCTGCAGTCTATTTCACGCATAATACGCGCACAAATTATACTCAAGAATCAGGAAAAAGCATGAAAAGACGTTTTACAGAGATAAAAAATCTGAAATGCAAAGATAAACTTAAACAAGAAGATTACCATGATCGCGGAGACACCTTGCGCAGTTTGCAAGCGCTGACTGCAACGAGCAGGAGATTTCTTACAGGGTTTTGACACAGCTGTGAAAGCGGATTAGGGTTTAGGATTGGTAGGTTATATAGGAAAGGTTTCACCAGTGGGCCCTAATTGCATAAGCCCATCGTAGTTAGATTGACGAAACCAAGCCCATGAAGGCTACCTACCAAATCAATTCTTCATTTTTTCCAATATTTTGCAATACTCTTTACATAGTTTAAGTGCTTTATGCCCACCAATTTCCTAAAAATCCAGTTATGTTATTCATTGGGATGTTGGATATAAGATGTTTTGTTTTTGTTTGAATTTTTTAGTTTGATATGGTTAAATTTGAAAAAAAAAATGATATGGTTAGTTGTTAGTGGGATTTTGAGTTTATATAAAAATAATATTTAAAATAAAATAATTAAAGTTGATTTGATGTAAAAATAGAAGAAAGATGATGTGAAATGGTGGTTAGTTAAAATTATGTAAGTGTCTAAATAAAAAATTAAAATTAAATGTAATGTGTAAGAATGATTGAGTGACATTATTTAATAATATTGATAATATTGAGCATAGTGAGGTTGGATTAAAGTTGAGTTAGAATATAGTTAAAACATTGATTGGTTAAAAATGATTGAATGCATTTGAAAAAATTTATATCCAAGCATAAGTGTTTTGTTTATAAAAATATTCATACTCATAGTCAAATTCATACTTAAAATTTGAATTAATTTTAACTCAACTCTACTGTCCTTAATATTATCAATATAATTAAATATAATCAATCAACCATTCTTACTCATCACTTTAATTTTAACTATTAATTCACTCACGTAAGTTTAACTATCTATCACTTACAATCACTTATCATTTACTTTTACATCAAATCAATTTGAATCATTTTATTTTAAATATTATTTTAATATAAACTTAAAATCCCACTAACAATTAATCATAACATCTTTTTTCAAAATTAACCTCAGTAAACCAATTTTAACTATCTGTCACTTTCAATCATTTATCCTCTACTTTTACATCAAATCAATTTTAATTATTTTATTTTAATACAAACTTAAAATCTCACTAACAACTAATCATACCAACTTTTTGAAAAGTAACTCTAGTAAACCAATTTCAACTAAATTCACACAACTAAAATAAAGTAATTTACAACTTGCTATATTCTAAAAAAAATGCTAGAGCCGCACGCGCCCCTCTTTCATATCTCTTTGGAAAAAAAAAAACAGATTCGTCGTTGCCCCTCCTCTGTCTGAGGCATGTTGCCGCACTACTCGAGTTCGATTCCACCAAGTCGAATTTGGTTCTTTTTGCCTCTTTCGAGGCCTTGCAGGAGTGTGGTCAGGTTGGCGCTCACCGCTCACCATCTCCCCAGCTATGGTCTGGTCGCCGGTCGTCAGTGTCGTGCTCCTAGCCTCTTGAGTCCGTCGGCCCATCGGTGCATTTGGGTTCATGTTCCTTAGTTGTCGAGTCCAAGGCTACGGCTCGTTGTGTGATTGGACCCCCTTTTGAGCCCTCCGACGTGGGTTGTTGGTATCTTTTCTGGCGGCTCTTCCTCTGCCCTCGCGTGGTAGTTTTTGGGAGTACATGTTTGAATCGAGAATTGACTTGTCAGATCCATCTAGGCGGCGCGAGTGGACGCAGTTTTTGTGTTTGAGATTCTCGTTTGTTGTTTTATTGGATTCTATGCTGCTGGGAGTGGCTCGTGTGTTGACTCGGGTGGTTGTGCATTATGTCTGCAAGGTGTATGAGAGGTTTTATTTTATTTGTACATTAGGTGTGTGTGTGTGTATGTGTGTTTTTTGGATTTATTTTTCTGTTTGTTAGACCAGCTTCGTCTGGTTCTAGTCTCTTTTTATGGAGTTTTGTTTTGTTGTGGCAGTTGTCTCCTTGATGGAGTTGTACCCCTTGGATTCTTCTAGAATTACAAAAGGTAGGTCCAGGTTTTTTGATTCCTTAATGTCAATCGACACTCCTTATGTACTCTTTTGAGTTTTTAAGTAATGAAAGTGTTTGTCAATTTGATAAAAAATTAAAAGAAAAAAAACATAGCTACCTATCACTTTCAATCATATCTCACCTACTTTTACAATAAAGCAATTTTAATTATTTTATTTTAAATATTATTTTAATACAAACTTAAAATTACACTAACAACTAATCATACAAACTTTTTCGTAATTAACCTAGTAAACCAAAAAAAAAAAATCAATTATAAAAACTAATAAATTAGTAAAAAAGCACGCCCTATAGATTTTATGGGACTTTAAAAGCACTACAAGAATAATCATTATTAGTGGTGAAAATTTTAGTGACGACATTATTGTCATAACTGTAATGACAATATTTTCTCATGTCATAGAATTGTTGAACTGCTAGTTATTAGTGACAATTTTATTTTTTGACACTATTCTTCATCAAATGTTTTTTTATCGCATATTGTCGGCATAAAAAAAGTTTCATCGCTAATAAATTTTTTAATAGCGACAACTTATGAAGTCATAATTAATAGTACAACATATATGTTAGTGCTAGCTTATTGTTGTCACAAAAATAATAACAAAATTAGCGACAAAAAAGTATCATCACTACTAATTATAAAAAATAATGACAAAAATTTTATTAGCGTTATATTAAAAATTTATTGGTAAAAAGTTGGTGTCTAACATAAAATAAGTTAGGTTATAAACTTACATAATAAGAAAAGCAAAAAATGTAATGTGGTGTTTTTTATTTTTTATTTATCTAGCTTTTGATGATATATCAATTACAACTATGACATAATTTACTTGATATATGCCCCATTCACTTTGATGCCCCGGTCCCCCCATCTCACTAATTGGGAATTAGTAAAATAGTTGGCCAAAATACACATCGTCCAGGCAATCTAAAAGAGACAACCATTTACATACATGAACAATTTTTGGTCATATCGGCCCATTTCCGAATATCACAGTAAAAAAGAAAAAATACATTGGCTAAACTCACATCCAAATAATCACCTATTTGAAAACTAAGATCACCCAATGCTTTGTTTCCACTATCAGGTTGTCTCGTGTTTATTAGGATAGACAAAGGCAAAAGACATTACAACACTTTTATCAACCCCACTTTTACTTCTACACACGGTGACAAAGGAGGAATCACACTTTGTGAGTGGTTGAAGCATAGTTAAATTTCTATTTGGTAAGTCCTATACAAATTGTTGGATAATCTTGGCAGTAGATATAATAACATTTGTTGGAATATATACCAACTGAAGTTGCCTACAAAGTGTTTGATGAAATGTGTTAAAGAAGGTCGCAGTTATGAGTCTCAATATTACTATTGTAATTTAAGAAGAATGACTGTGTTTCATCTGCATCAATCCAAATGGACAAAAGCTGGATGTTTCTTGCGGATAGGAGACTCCCGAAATATCAAGACAGAGTTAAGGAATTCTTGGATTTTGCATATTATTTAAAACAGGACTCGGATAAGATCAGGTGCCCTTGTAAAAAATGTAATAATGTGTGCCTGCGAAGTGAAGATGATGTCGAAGATGATTTATTGGAGTATGGGATACTTCAGAGTTATATCACATGGATGCTTCACGGTGAGGAAATTGATGATTGTAGTAATGAGGAATTGGATTCTGATCAACTAGAAGACAATAAAGAATGTGAGATCAATGAAATGACTGGAAATAAGAATGATCACGATGATATGCAAACTTTACTGGAGGATTAGTATGCAGCGACGACAAAAAAGTTTGGAGAGTGGAAGATTCATCAACGAGAGACGAAAATTCAGTGCCACAATGGGAATCATATATGTTTATGTGGCTACTGAGAGATATCGATAAAGAATTATATCCAGGATATGAGAGTTTCACCAAATTGTCATTTGTAGTAACTCTTATGCACTTGAAAGTTCTCAACAGTTGGAGCAACAAATCCTTTTCTATGTTGCTAGAAGTGTTAAATAAGGCACTCCCCAATGGCGAGACACTCCCTTGCTCATATTATGACGCAAAAAAAATCATTCAAGATCTTGACTTGAATTACCCAAAAATCAATGCATGTGTAAATTATTGTGTGCTGTAGAGAAAGGAGTACGAATCTAGAGAAAATTGCCCAAAGTGTGCAGTTCCGCGTTATAAATCTAATTTGGATAGTAATGATAACAATGGAGAGAAAAGGCATAAGAAGATTCCTCAAATAAATTTACGCTATTTTCCATTAAAGCCAAGATTGCAAAAAGTATTTATATCCAAGAAAACGACACAAGACATGAGGTGGCACAGGGAAAAAAGAATTGATGATGATGTTTTGAGGCACCCGGATGATGCTCAAGAATGGAAAGAATTTGACAAAAGATACGAATCATTTTCAGAAGATCCTCGTAAAAAGTTAGACTTGGGTTGGCTACTAATGGTTTTAACCCTTTTTCACATATGAGCTCATCATATAGCACGTGGCCGGTGATTCTTTTGCCATATAACCTGCCACCAAGGAAGTGTTTGAAGGCTCCTTTTTTCATTTTGCCAATGCATATTCTTGGTCCATCATCTCCTGGAAATGATGTCAATGCTTTTCTGGAGCCTCTAATGGATGAATTGAAATAATTATGGGATAGTGGTATTAATACTTATGATGCCTACACCGAGAAAAAATTCAACCTTCGTGCAACATTGTTGTGGACCATAAATGACTTTTTTGCATATGCAATGGTATTAGGATGGAGCACGAAAGGATATTTGGTATGTCCAGTTTGCAATAAGGAAGCATGTAGTTCTTTGTTGAAAAATGGGACGCCGATTTTCGCCACATGATCATAAATGGCGGAAACTTAAAAGTACTTTCAATTGTAAGAGAATTAAGTAATAAGCCAGTTCCTTTGACGGGGAGGGGTCCAGCCAGTAACATTCGGAAAGACTCAACCAAAGAAGAGAAAGTGCGACGAGGAACTCAATTGGAAAAAATCTATCATTTTTTTTCAACTACCATATTGGAGAACACTTGGACTACAACATAACTTAGATGCTATGCACACAGAAAAAAAAAATGTTTGTGATAATGTTCTTGACATGTTACTAAACATTGATGGTAAGACGAAGGATAATATTAAAGCTAGATTAGCTTTACAAGAATTGGGCATAAGGCAACAACTACATCCAAAGTTGGTGGAAAATTCTTATTTGATGCCACTTGCATGCTATACATTGTCCAAAGCCGAAAAAAGAAAGATGTGTGCATATTTTGCTTATGTGAAGTACCCAGATTCGTATGCTGCAAGTTTGTCAAAGCGTGTAAACATGACAGAGTGTCAGATCACAGGTATGAAAACTCATGATTGTCACATTATCTTGCAATAATTGCTACCTCTTTCGGTTTGTGGGTTGTTAAATAATGATGCATGTGAAGCATTAGTGATCTTAGCAGTATATTCAAAAAAATATGCTCAAACTCGTTAAAGATATCTTACTTGGAATATCTTGAAAATCAAATTGCTCGGACCCCTCCCCTCAAAAAAAAAAAAAAAATTCTCTGGCCCTATGCAAGTTAGAAAGGATATTTCCTCCAGCTTTCTTTGATGTTATGGTACATTTGTCTATCCATTTACCACGAGAGACAAAACTTGGAAAGCCAATACATTATCGTTGGATGTATCCTATAGTGCCAGGAAACAAGTGCACATATACATTATCAGGTAGATATATTCGTTCAGATCATTCGATTCTTCATTTGATAGATATATATTTTCGTATATTAAATCCGTGTGTCATATGTAAAATGAAGGGATTGAATGAGATTTAACTTTTTTTTTACTTAGGTACAGAGTATATTTCATGCAATAACGATTTATATACCTCGAGTTTTTATTTATTTTGTAACTAGTATCTTGAAAAGTAAAATTAGCACCTTATTTAGATTTTTTCTTTTAGTGAACACAATTAAGTGGTAGAAAGCAATGGTTGTCGAAATGTGGGTGTTGATATCCGAGTTAGCCCACAGGGGACCGGATAAAAATAATCCCAAAAGCCGGGCCGGTAGCCCGGTCTAAAGAGAAAGTGTCGGGTTAAATGTCAAACAGAAATGACCGCCGTGTCTGCGAAGTCCCATTCTCAAGGTCGGCTCATGTACCGCTGGAGCACCGGTGCCGATATGGGAAGGTAACGGCCTGAAATGATGATCCTAAAGACCGGGAGAAGGCTACCAGCTCGAAAGCCGACCCAATACTTCAGCACGGCCCTCCTGGAGACCAGTGCGAGGCTCGTTATTAATATAATACGGCCACTTGGAGGTTAATCATTGGCGATTGGACGAGCCATCATAGCCTGTCACCCTATAGCCCTTAGCCAAGACATTAAGCCTGCCAGCATTAAATGTCTCCCATGTGTGCATTAAATGCCTGACAGACAATAATTAAGGAAACCTCAAATCGCATTAATATCTGTCAGGAAGACGCCGGACTGCTCTGCAAAAATACTGTGCGACAAGACTGATGAACAGTATCTGAACAGTGCCACATTTAAGAGCACTATAAATAGAACTCCACTTCATATATTTTTGGGTTGTTGAATCTCAACTAACTCAGCCCTCTCTCTACTTTCTCTCTCTAAGAATTGTAATAAATTCCTGTAATAAGCAATTGTAATAAAAAGGCCGACCTCGTCCACAAAGGCCGAACTCGTAATTATATAAGAAATTCCCATTTCCTTAGCATTTTTCTCTTACCTCATCTTTCCATTCCCAATATTATTTATTTTAACCGTTGATCGGATTCGTCCATCAACAGTGGAGAAGGAGCATAAGAAATCTTTCATGAAATGCTTTGAAAAACGAGTAAGTCTTTCTATTTGTATATATTATAGCATAATTGTTCAAGTTTTCATAATTTAAATAATTTGAATACTATATAGATTGAATTGCCATCTGAAGAAGAAATGCTACTTGTACGAGAATTTGGTGCACATGGCATATGGTCCTGATAGGCGAGTTACTCATTATAAGGCGTGCAATGTAAATAGGTTGCGGTTTCACATAAAAAAATCAAAAAATGAATAGAAAAACCCAAAATAGTGGTGTGGTTGTAAAGGTGGAAGAGCAATCTGAAATTCGAGATTACTATGGTGTGTTGACAGATATAACTCAGTTGGATTTTTTAGGAAACCATCAAGTGGTGGTATTTAAGTGTGATTGGTACGAAGGTAAGTCTATCCAAAAAGACAAGTTTAACTATACGAGCATTAACACGTCAAAGCCATGGAAGACGAACGAACCTTTTGTATTAGCATCTCAAGCACAACAGGTGTTCTATGTTGATGATATAAAATTAGGAAAAGACTGGAAAGTTGTAATTGAGGCAAAAGCAATAAGCTCGTGGAATGTGCTTGAAAAACAAGATGATGATTGTATAATTTTTTAAGTGTCCATCCAAGAACATGAATCACATCAAATGGCTAACACATTTAATTGTCCTAATGATTATGTTGAGTGGCATAGGACTGATATCCCACCAGCAACTGTTGAGGAAGATGAAGGGGTACCTTTGCTGGTTGATCATGATGACAAAGAAGAAGAAGATTACACACTAGAAGAATATGATGAAGCTTCTGAAGGCCATACTTGTGATGATGACGAGGATGATTGGGATATATGGTAGTATGATTGGCTGGCTCATATATACATAAATTGCATATTGTGTCTAGTGCATACCTTTTTTTACTGATATTTTCATAAATACATAAATTGCATATCATGTCCAATGCATGCCTTTTGTGACCGATATTTTCAACAATATGTCTAATTGCCATTTTTTTCATGGTAGAGTATATGGCCCATGTTTCAAGGTTCTAATGAGAATCGTGCGTCGAATATCTAAATTGTATAAAACCTGCATTATTTGGCCGTCGGTTTTACAGAGAGATTTGCTAAAAGTTAGCAGTTAACCATATTTCATTATTATCCCATCAAAAGCCTTACAACCGTAATAAATAAACAGTCAATCCTAAAATGAAAAACAAAAACAACAATTTGCAAAGTAACCCAAATAAAAGGAAAATAAACATAAATAGTCCTAACATTATAATAATTATCATATTCACTCCTGCACACTTGGTTCAACAGCCTTCAATACATACAGCTCCCTTGTTCTTGTTTCGTCGAGCTTTATTGTACGCATTCTTTAGTATACGAGCCTCGTTCTCATCATTCCCGTCCCCTTCAAGAACGACCTTGTCCTCAAGGGCGAAATCGAGAAACTGTAAACGCATATCATCAAGATTTTCCCACGTAGCTTCTTCACTCGGCAAATCTTCCCATTCTAATACCAAAGAGACCTGCCAGCTCGTTTAATTCGGCGATATTCGACTGCTTTCCGTGGCCGAATAATTAATTGACCTACCTCATTAACAACCGGCAATCTGTTTGGTACCACGTTCCCATCCCCAATCCAACGTTTTAATTGAGAAATATGTACGACAGGATGTATGTGTGCATCTGTAGGAAGATCCAACTTATATGCTACTTTCCCAACCTTTGCTAACACACAAAAAGGTCCATAATATTTGCTTCCCAACTTACTGAAGGCTTTCTGAGAAATGGTTTTTTGGCGGTGAGGTCTAAGTTTCAAAAAAACCAAATCGCCTGGATTAAATTCCTTATCCTTATGCTTGCGGTAATATTGGTTTTTCATTCAATTAATAGAGGTTGCCAAATTCTCCTTTAGCTCACGCAATAATAAATCACGCTCAAATAATTCTCTATCCACTTCCGCATTTGGAGATAGCCCGACTTGATAACTTGCCAATGTAGGAGGTGATCGCCCATATGGTGAGTATTTTGTAGATGCATGGTAGGTTGTATTGTACCAATACTCCGCCCATGATATAAAACTCGCCCACTTGCGTGGCTGTAAATGAACGAAACAACGCAAATATTGCTCTAAAGTTCGATTAGTTACCTTTGTTTGTCCATCAGTCTGTGGGTGATAAGACGAACTCATGGCCAATACAGTATGCTGCATCTGAAATAATTCTTTCCAAAAATTACTTGTAAACACTTTGTCCCTGTCTGAAACAATGGAACGTGGTATTCCATGCAAGCGAACAACATTATCCACAAACAAACGAGCTATGGATTTGGCAGTGTAAGGATGAACCAAGGGAATAAAATGAGCATATTTTGTTAAGCGATCAACAACAACAAATATTCCATTAAAACCATCGGAAGTAGGCAAACCTTCAATAAAGTCTATGGAAATATCCTCCCAAGTGCGCTAAGGTACGGGAAGTGGCTGTAATAATCCGCTTGGTTTCCTCGAATCTGATTTTACCCTTTGACAAATGTCACAATGCACAACATATTTTTTTACCTCATTTTTAAGTCCAGGCCATATAAAGGTATTTGAAATTCTAGCCCAAGTTCTGTAAATACCAGAATGAACTCCCAAACAATAATCGTGGAAGTGTTTAATTACGTAGATTCGTAATTCATTTACATCAGGTACCCAAATGCGGCCACGAAAAAATAACAAGCCTTCACTGAACTCAAAATCATCTTCTGTCTCCACTTTCTCCTCTATTTGTTTTCGAATTTCTGCGGTTTTAGTATCAATTTTCACTGTTGTGCGAATTTCATCCCATATTTTCCAAGCTGGTCCAGAAATAGCTTGTTCTAAGTTCAACAATTCAGCCGCATTAGAGCGACGTGAAAGTGCATCTGCTATGTGATTCTGCCTTCCCGGCCTATAAACGATTTCAAAATTGAATCCCATCAATTTCGCAACAAATTTTTGTTGTTCTAGAGTGAAAATTCATTTCTCTAGCAAATGTTCAATGGTTGTTGACCTTTCACAATGCAAAAACGCTTTCCGAGCAGATAAGCTCGCCATACTCTTACCGCTTCTACTACAACCATCATCTCCTTAACATATGCCGACCAACTAATGCGAGAAATTCCTAAAGCCTTGCTAAAGTAAGCAAGTGGTTTCCCTTTTTGCACTAATACAGCGCCAATTCCAACATCGCCGGCGTCGGTATGAACTTCAAATAACACATCAAATTGCGGCATCGCGAGGACTGGTGTTTCGCACATCACCTTCTTCAGTTGTTCGAAGGCAGCCACACTACTCTCACTCCACTTGAAAGCATCTTTCTTGGTCATTTCAGTTAATGCTCTTGCAATGGATCCATAATCTTTTACAAACTTACGATAATATCCAGTTAAACCGAGGAACCCACGAAGTTCAGTCAGATTTCAAGGCTTCGGCCAACTTCTCATTGCCTCAATTTTTTTTATCATCAACTCGAACCCCATCAACCGAAATGATATGGCCCAAATACTACACAGAGGTCTTAGCGAACAAACACTTACTTCTCTTGACGAAAAACTGATTTTCTAGCAAAATACTCATAACAATCGTGAGATGTTCAAGATGCTCCTGCCAAGATTTTGAATAAATGAGTATATCGTCAAAGAAGACCAAAACAAATTTTCTCAAATGTGTTTGAAAGATGGAATGCATTGCAAACTGGAAGGTAGCTGGGCGTTACACAATCCGAATGGCATAACTAAATATTCATAGTGCCCTTGATGGGTACGGAAAGCCGTCTTATGAATATCTTGTTCTGCAAGTTATTCAAATTTTGAGAAGAATATCTTGTTCTGCAAGCCGTCTCTGATTTGATGATATCTTGCACGTAAATCAAATTTTGAGAAGAATGTTGACCCTCCAAGTTCATCGAGAATATCATCGATGGTAGGAATTGAAAAACGGTCTTTTATAGTTGCTGAATTTAGAGCTCTATAATCAGTACAAAACCGCCAAGTGTCGTCTTTTTTTTGCACTAGTAACAGTGACGACGAGAATGCGCTCGTGCTATGCCTGATGGTTCCTTTTTCCAACATCTCTCGCACATGTTTCTCAATTTCAGATTTTTGGAAATGGGCATACCTATATGGATGAACATGTACTGGTTGTTGCTCATTATGAATTGGAATCACATGATCATAGTGGCGTTTAGGAGGACGACCAACTGGTTCATTCAATACTACAACAAAGTCATCCAATATTTTTATTATTTATGGATTCTCTTCTTCAACCCCACTTTCATTAGTATTATAGTTTTCCCTTCTTTCAACTCTCATGGTGAAACAACAACCTCCATTTCGCCACATATTTTCAATATGATGCAAATTGACTTCCTTAGAAGTTTCTCCCGCTCCTGTCACTAATTTCACTTAGCCATCTCCCCAAGAAAATTCCATTGTTCCCTTACTATAATCAGGCATAATTGGCCCAAGTTTCTCTAGCCATTGCACGCCCAAAACCACGTCAAGACCAACCAACGGTAACGCAAACAAATCGGTATTTATCAAAACTCCTTGGAATTTAATTGGTACATTTTTGTAGAGTTCTCCACATTTAATTCTTTCACCACTGGCTACTCTAACGTCAAAGGTTTCAACAGTTGACACCGACAAATTTAACTTTTAGCCACAACAGTATTGATGAAATTATGTGACGAACCATTATCAATCAATACTATAATTCGTCTGTCATGCAACCATGCTGGTATTTTCATTGTTTTAGGGCCATGAATACTTGCTATGACATGAACAGAGATTTCTGCTCCTTCATCTTGATTATCGGTGTCGTATATTGGTTCTTATTCTTCCTCTGATTCTACGGGTTCAATAAAGAATACTTGTTTAGTCTTGCACTTATGGCCTGGCGTGAACCTTTCGTTGCAATTAAAACAAAGTCCCTTTTCGCGCTTTTTCTGCATTTCATCCCAACTCAGTCGTTTTACCCCTAGTGGAATTTGTCGAATACTTAAATAGTAGCTTGAACCAGAACTCATATCTCCAGCTCTTTGTTCTGTACCAACGACCCCTGTTTTTCTAAAATCAATCATATTCAGTCGCCGCGCTGCTTGCGAATTATCATATTTCAACCGTGCAACCTCAACCGCATCCCTCAACGTTTTTAGACGATTTATACGCACCTCAGTGGCAAGATCAGATTTAAGTCCCCCGACAAACGGGGCCCAATGAGCTCTGTTCTAAAAGTCAGCCTAGGCGCTAGGCGCTGCCCGGCCGCCTCCGATTTGCGTAAATCGGCGGAGGCCAGACGGCTAGGCGCTCCTAGGCGGGCTTGTCGGCCAGGCGGCTTGGTGGGCCTAGGCGGACCTAGGCACCACCTAGGCGCTCCTAGGCGGGCTCGATGGAAATTTTTCATTTTTTTTTAATTATTTTTTAAATACTAACTACATTATTTTGTAATCATGTTTTCTTTATAATATACTAATATTATTATTTGGACTTGGGTGTGTTGATTTATTATAAGTTGAGATAGTTTTATTTTGTAGGTAGTGAAAATAAATAAAAAAAAGAAGGTATTTAATCTCGATTTCTAGGCCCCGCCTAGGCGCTAGGCGCTGGTCGAGCGCCTAACGACTTCTAGAACACTGCCAATAAGTGCTCCTTCAGGCCAATCATAAACATGGGTAGCGATTCTTTCAAATTTCCTTTGGTACTCACGTAATGTGCCATTTGCTTGATATGAGATAAAGCTTCATCATGATCAAAATATTATGTTGGTCCAAACCGTACCATCATCTCCTTCTGAAATCACTTCCATCTAACTGTTTTGTTCTGCTT